CACCATCACTGGTCATTAGAGAAATGCAAATTAAAACCACACTGAGATTTCATCTCACTCCTGAAAGAATGGCCAAGATCAAGAAAACCACCAACAACAAATGCTAGAGAGGCTGTGGGGAAAAAGGAACTCTCCTGCACTGTTGGTGGGGGTGTAGACTAGTGCAACCATTGTGGAGGTCAGTCTGGAGATTTGTCAGAAAGCTGGGACTGGAAGCCCCATTTGACCCAGCTATGCCACTTCTAGGCATATTCCCAGAAGAACTGAAAGCATCATACCACAGTGATATATGTGCACCCATGTTTATAGCAGCACAATTTGTAATAGCCGGATCTTGGAAACAACCTAAGTGTCTATCAACTGAGGAATGGATAAAAAAGTTGTGGTATTTTTATACAATGGAGTACTACTCAGCCATAAAGAATGATCACATTGAGATATTTATAAATAAATGGACGCAGCTTGAGACCATATTCATAAGTGAAATAAATCAAACTCACATGTATAAATACCGTATATTTCCCTAGTGTAAGAAATGATAAGAATACATAAAAGTATATGGCAATCATGATTCCCAATCATATTGGTTTGAAGCCATATATGTTTTCACTCATTAATTGCAATGGTTTTAACCTGGGTTGTTCGATTTTAGTATTGGTGATAGTACGAATAGCTATTCTGAAGAAAACAACACATCATAAAAGCTATTGCTGATTTAATATCATCTTGTTTTGAAGTCCCATCAAGCTGTTGTACATCTGTTTCCACTGGTTTTAACATATTTTACTATACGCGATAGTATAAACAAAATTTTTTATAGGTAAAGAGATAATATAGAAACTGTTGTTTGTTTTCTGTTAACTGGTTCTAAATACCCTGTAATTCTTTCATTCTCTTGAATGGGTTCACACTGTTTTGATATGCTTGATGCTATAGTATACGAAGTTATACTCAAATAATTCAAGGAAAGAGGCACTATGGTGACTACTATTATGTTAGATTATCTGGGGGTGAAACACAATGATACTTAAATTGTTCGGTTCTGACCTGTGTTTTTCTGTTACAATGTCCTCTTTTATCTCAATCTCTACCCTTTTTATTTTTAATTAATCTATTTTTTCTTATATTTTTTAATTAAGGGAAAACTAAATTAAAAAACAGCGGGATATATTATAGTAACTTTTTTGTTTTCCTATTAACCTGATTTGAACCCCAGTATTGCTCTCCCCATCTTGTTCTGTCTGATTTTACTATATTCTATTTTGTTTGATAGTATCAAGTTTGAGGGTATAGGTAACCACTTTGAAGGCAATAAGATTTACTATGATGCCCATTATGGTTTGACTATTTTCTTTTTTTTTGAAGTCCTATAAGTTCTCCAGTTTTGTACTGTTTTGTACTGTTTTTGTACTCTGTACTGTTTTGATCAATTCTATTATACCTGATGATATAGACAACTCTTTTTAAAAATAGCAAGAGGCACAATGGTAACCATTTTTGATCACCTGATACTCTATTTTTGCATCATGTACTACGACCATCCTTCTGTTCTAACCGACTCTGTTTTCTTTAGTCATGTTAGGTTTTAGTCTCTTCAAAAAAAAGAAATAAGAACTGTGGGAGTAAAACAACCCAAAAAGTTTAATTGTTATTGTAAAAAAGAGAGGAAAGGAAGGTGGTCTAAGGGATATAACTGCATGTGTTTGAGTGTGTAGGATGGAAAACCATATTAGTGAGCTTTTGTTGGATCATTGAACAGAATTGTGTGCAATCTCACTGTATGAATGTCCACTTTATATGCTTTAATTTTATAATTTGGACAATTGTTTCTAAGATGACAATATGTAACCTATTAATTAGTGATTTCTTGCTGTATTTTTTTTTGAAATTCTGTATTATTCGTACCCATTTACTGCTTTGTTTTTTTATTTCCTTTCTTTTTTCTCTTTAAATAAAAAAAAAGAAAAACATAATATATATAAGATTCAGTACCATTTGTGGTTTCAGTTATTCACTTGGGGGAGGGTGTTAGAACTATTCCCTGTGCTTGGAGGGGACTACTTCATAAAAGACACAAGGTATAAGCATTGTTCTCAATCAGCTTATATATATATATATATATATATATATATATATATATATACACACTTTTTCTGTGTTTTTTACGTGTCTCTTAAATTTTGTAAAAGATTTGATAATGTAAAAAATTGATTAAAATTAAAATAAAATTGCAAGTGAATACTCCTGGACTGTATATGTATAAATGCACCCCAAATGGAGTCAAATAATTTTATCTTTAACATATTAAGGTCAAGCTAAGCAGGAAGCTCTACATTTCTGATGGTTAGGTTTTAAAACTTCGAAAATTAGAGATCTGGACTTATTCTTAAAGCAATAGTACTCCTTAAAAAGTTCAAATGCGTGATCATATAAAAACTCAGATCTATCTAACAGATCTAATTGTATTATGACCACAATGCATAAATGTATAGCATGAATATTTTAAAATATTAGATATCAGATTGACAAAATATATATGGAATATTTTATTATATATATAATATGTATATAGTCAATCCAATATCAAATATTTAAAAATATTCACATTATGCATTCCACAAATCTTGTTTAATTGAGTTAGGCTCCATTAACTTGCTTTTGGTACTGGAAATTGAACTCATGATCTTATGCCTCCCAGGCAGGTGCTGTGCTGCTGAGCAATATCCTTGGCCCTCCATAAACTTTTGTTCTGCAATTCTATTTGTCCTGTTGATAGGTTGCTACACTAAGGGGTTTCAAAGAAATGTGATTATATGAAAAATTTAAAAATATAGCCTAATTTTCTATTTTTATTCTAATGAAAATCCCTAGAGTAGCAACAGTTGTTTAAAATACTATAGTATACTATACTATAGTATACTATAGATGCTCATCCAAAAATTGTTCCCAGTGATTTTTAAATTGAATTTTAACCTATTTTGGAATTCTATTGACCAAGTGAAGTAGAAGAAAAGCAATGCCAAAACTCTTAGAACTGGGAGTTAAATTATGATAATACCCTGTGAAGCTTCAAAATACTTTTTTAAAAAATGCACAACTTTAAAATTATTCTCAAAAAATGTTTCAAAGAATGAGTGTGCAGTGTGGCATAGTGGTATTGGAAGAGGTGCTTTGGAAGAAGGGTCATTTCTTTCTGTTATACTCTGATATAATTGCCTATTTGCTTACCTGTCTTCTCCATTACTCTAGGGAGTAAGAAGTAATTACTGATTTTCAAGCTTGACTGCATATTTGAATCACCTAGGAAACATTTTGCAAGTACAATACTTGATGTAATTGGCCAAGAGGATGAAGACTAGACATTAGTAGTATTTAAAAGCTACCAAGTAAGTCTAATATGAAGCTTGCATTGAGAATCACTGGTATCAAGTACTTTGTGCTGTAAAGCACAAACTGTGGTACATGGTAGGTTTAGATAAATATTACTTGGATGCTTGAATGAAATCATAAATGTTTCCTTTATGAAGCAAAAGTGACAAATATGGCTCATAATTTTACCTTATTTTCTTCTTTCTTCTACTAAAGAATGTAAGGAAAATTAATATTTTATGGATGGTTAATGTGCATATTTCATATTTGGACTGATTTAGGTTATATAGTATGCAGTTGTCAACTTAAAAAGGTATTTGAAATCATTCATTGCAAACAAACATGTTTTGGTTAATTTTCACTGTGGCTTCTCTAGCAAGACAAATATATTTATGTCACGTTAAATATCATATTTTATACTATGCTAATTTTATCCTTTATCTCTAATCAACAGTAAGTTGAAGATAAGGTGGAAAATATGCTGGTCAGTTTTTAATTGTGTTAATGCAAAAGTATGCGTTATATCTCTATATATTCAAGTATGATTTTAAAATTTTAACAACTTTTTTCCTAGAATTTTTTTAATTCATGCTATTGACTATATTTTGGATATGGCATCTTGTAGTTAATTACAAAAGTTCTGTTCTATGTACTTTTACTCTTGAAGTCCATCACTGGACATATTTTCCATGTGTGTCAAAGGTTAAAGGAGATGTTTGTAAGTTATTTTCTGTATTGAATAGCTCTCGCTCTCTAGTGGATCCATACTGCTTTTTTTTTGGTAAAGTTCCAATGAAGAATCTTCTGCTAAGGCTTGGGGAATCATCTCACTTCCTATGTGGAGCAGTACAATCAGTGTACTTACACTGTTTCTGTGCTGTTTGTTAAATGAACCATGGGAAATGAGTGGTTGCAGATTGGAACTGTATGTTGCGTATTTTCTCATAAAGGTCAATTGTCTACCTGATATTTAAATCTTTATCTTCTTTGTAGAGCCAGTAATGACATAAGAATAAGAACAATAACTTTGAATTTTTATTGTAGAAGACCTTATTAAATTCAATTGGTATCTAATTGTTTAACTTAATGAAATAAATGAGTGACAGAAAACTGAAGATTAGTAAACACATTTTGTTAACACATTTTCAACCTTAAAAAGAAACACTTAAAAAAAAAGACTTATGGGAAGAGTAGGTGTTGATCTCCAAATGGTGACTCATTACATGAGAAGCTTTGTAAAAACATCAAGATCTATTCCTTCCCCTAGGAATCTTATGCAATCCATTGGGCAAAAATGCATAGTCATGCATTTGGGAACTACAAGTGTCATGGAATATATACTGGACAAGAATTTAAGAAAATGGTTTTAATTAAAGCTGTTTTACTGATGATCTGGAACCATGTACTTAATCTTGACAAATTTCATTCTCCTAAGAAAAGGGCTTCATCTCTAGATAATTTATCCAGTGATTTATTAGGTCCTTTGTGTCTAACATACTGTGATTCAGTTTATCTTTTATAATTTCCTAAAGCAAACCTCTACTAGAGAGATAGATTTACAGCAAAAATGTTTAACTTAAAGATGTTTAATAGAAAGAATCTCAGAATTGATTCTGAAAGGAATAGCTCACCTTTTTTTAAGCAGAGGCTTTCACTGACCAGTTCTCCCTTCTCATTGGCATCTATTTTCATCCAGCTATGGAGGTATTTCTTGCCCTTCTTGATCACTGCCTTAGAGCCTTGTTTCTTAAGAAAGCAAGATGTATTTTCCATCTCAAGGAACCCTTGCTCATGGCAGGTCCATCGGGGTGCCTGGGAGCAGTGTGTGAAGATAGCTGGTTGGAAAGGACCACCAGAGGATTTGGAGGTACCCAGGCACTGAGCAGATTTAACATGCTGGAGCTTTCCATCCCGAGTCCACAGCCACTGCTGGTTCTGGTTGGTCCCATTGCATGAACCCACGATCACTTTCTGATTTATGAAAAGGCACTGCTGTTTCTGGACATGAACAATCTGAAACCCTTCTGGAAAATGAAAAGCTTATAAAGTACTGTCACAGATATAAGGATCATTAAAAACAAAACTACTCATCCATAAATCAGCTAAGTAACAATGCTAGATATTCTTATATTATGCTATTTTAATCATTTCAAGTGAATATTCCCAGATTCAGCACATATTTAAAATCTCAGCAGAAAAAACAATAAAATTCTAAGACTGATAATGAAAAATATTAAAATGTCACACTTAGCAAATCCTCTCTCTCACCTTTTTAAGCTTTTTGGTGGTTTAGGGAAGTAAACACACACCCATTAGAAAAATGAAAAGAAGCTTGGAGGTGAAACAAAACTATCTAAAGAATATGGTTTTCTTAGAACATGGTATGATGTCTTAACCCAATTAATTACATGTGCCATACTTGTGTAAATGTTAGTTTCCTTTGTAACCTTTTGACTCACTCCAGAACACCTTTCCCACTAGTAGAAAAAGTATCCTCCCTTCAATCCTTAAATTTACATTGCAATAAACAATTGTGTATAAATCATGTAGTCTGGCCAAAACTTTCAAAATTAGATGTTTGTTAAAAGAAAGGCATAAAATACATCTTCTCATCCCTCTAATCACAATCTGTAGCTAAAAGCAACCAAGGGAAAAAAAAATCTATTCTCAAATGAATTTGTCCTGGATTATTTTGTGACAAGATCTACATTCCCCCAAAATGCCAGAGGAAAGGGCCTGGCATTAATCTAAAAAAAGTTAAATACCACTATTAAACATCCATATTGAAAAATGAGATATGTAGACATTCAGTGAGTTTTTACTTAAATTTCCCAGCTCTCCAAAGGCAAATATTCCGCCTTTCCAAATAACAGCTTTTAAATAAAACAAATTTCCTTGCCTCTTTAATATATTCCTCAAGTTTTTTTCTTTGACACAAAAGAAAGTAAGACTATAAGCTTGATAGAAAAAAATAACAGGGGGAATGCGACAGCCTGCTACATAATAATAAAGCATTTCTCCGGGTTCTTCACTGGTTGCTGTAAAGATCCCTTTCAGAAGCAGTGCTGCCAGAATTGGGGGGCACGGAAAGAGCATTTATTTGCTGTGGGAGAGAAATCCCAGCCGTATGGGTGCAGCTGGCTGCTTTCATTCCCCCTCCTCAGTGTTTTTGACCACCATGCGGTGTAGACCTTACTTTATCTGCCTCATTTTAGGCATTTTTCAAAAGTCAAGGGACTCCTCGGTTAGATTTGGAAGAGAGACCTCAGGAAACTGAGGCAGACCCACTCACCCAAACTTGTGAAGATCAAGCAGGTAAGAATCGCCACGTAAAATTCAGCCTCCATTTTCCACTTAACAACTGTTCACGCTTCGCTTGGGGAGAAAAAAAAATTCTCGTAGATAAGAGAAGCAAAGACTAGGAAGGAAATGTGCCTTCATGGTGAGGGGAAAAGTCAGTGACGAGCACTTCCTCCAATTGAATTGTTTGGGGGAAGTTTTACACCAGTGTCCTTTTGTCTGTTTCCTTAGAAAGAAGGGATTATGATTACCTCTCTCTTTTAAAAAAATATAGATCTAGCCTCCAGGAACAGAATAAACCTTCTTAAGTTGTCACCTACCATCTCTTTGGCCCGTGATTTTGTAACCTCAACAGGGAAGAATTGTAATGTTAGATAATTGAATGCTCCTGTAACATTACATCTTGTCAAGTGATGTGATTCTGCTGAATATATGCAAACCAGGTAATTTATGAGGGTCCATGACAAGTGATATAGATATAAACATGTACCATTTGTATAATGACATGATGGGAGTCTATGAGGAAAACCACATAATGATGGCAGCTTTAGATCATTGTCTCTCAAGTAATGATAATATTACACACTAAGAGTCATCACCATTGGGCAGCTGCAGAAACTAAAATTAAACCCATCGCACTCCCTACTTCATGCTCCCCCAAACAGATAAAAGTCTGTCTCCAAGCAGAAAAGGAAAAGAATAGACTTTACTCAATATTTAGTATTAAGAGTAGTTTATTGGCAGTATGAAACAAAGTCAACATTGTTGCATTAAAAATTCATATTTGAGCAGAACATCTAGATGTTTGCTGAGTGTAGTTATTTTAATTTTACCTCTTGAGGATTAAACCTTTCGGAAATATAAGGACATCTGAAACAGTGTCCTTATAAAGAACCAGGTTGTATCAACCCCAAAGGTATCAGCCTTTTCATGGGAAAGGGATTCCAGGTAGATAACATATTCAAAAATCCCTTCTTAGTAAAAGAGAGACAAGTATTTAAAATTTGTGATTCTTCACAGTTGCTACAAATTTGTTTTTCCCTTTTAAAGTAAAACAAGTCACAATGTAGAAATATAGTGGATAGAGTTCCAGAGCAGGAGCTACCTCTATGCTTAATAAGAGAATAAATACATATACATCCGTTGACAATCATTGTGCTCTGTAATTGATTGACAGGAGGTACTGTAAATACACATGTAATAGATAATATTATCAAGACATATTTCCATATAAAATAGTTACTGCTTTGATTGTTTTCCAAAACAAAAACTTATTCATTAAAAATCCATTATCAGTCACTTGCAATGTTAGCAGCAAGGTTCTGTTAACTGAGACAGGTAATTGCATTTAACACAGGAACAGGTGAACAGCTGTTCACAAGACAGACTCTGCAAACATTAAAGCATCTAAACACACAAGAATGATTTCTTCAGCAGCTCATCCAGTCATCACCTGATGACAGTTATCACTGAACATTACACACAGACATTCTCGGTGGCAGGTAGTCAGTACAGACAAAGGAAATCCATTTCAGGCTGTGTGAGAAATCTATCACACCTCATCAGCATAGGACCTTCAAAGTGATTCGGGGGATGCTTACAAGTGCATTGTTATACACAAAGGACTGGCAGTCTTGCATGTGTTGCCAAGCCTTCCACAGTCCATGCCACAGGTTGGCTTCAGAGCTCATCTTTCCTTTCTGGTAGGAAGCTCCTTTAAGAAGCCTCAAAGGAGTAATTTGATTAATCACCCCAAGAAACTGATGATCTGGTAAATCTTCAGCGAATCACTGGACAATTTCTGCTGTAAGCCTGCTCTCGTAGAGGCATAGAGCATGGTGCACAAATTCATACTGCTCACTGGTTTGAACCATTCCACCCCTGCAAGGAAGACATCATAAAAGAACATTTATTATCATTCTACAGTCTCACAACCAAGAGACTATGAGTACATTCAAGCTAGCATGTTATGCCAAGACATACAGAATAACGATTCCATTGTCCTTCCTCTTACCTATATCCAAGTGTCCCAGCCCGTGAAATTAATGTGATAATACAACCACATGCTGTATTAAAAACATCATAACATGATGTATTACTCTTTTTTGTGGAAATCCTAGTGTGAACAAACCCACTGTGCTACCAGTCATGGGAAAGTATAGCACATACAACTGTGTATTCTACACAATACATAAAGATAATCTTAAAGGACCTTGAGACTGGGCAACATATTTATTGTGTTCTCATTTTTGGTTATTTTAGTGTGTACTCCTATGTACACTAAAAAATTTGTGCACTGGGGTACTGTATTATTCTAGCAGTTGCCCTACATATCTTCGTCTCTTGTTTGCAACATTTTCTCTTGTGCTTGATTTGTTGTAGTGTGACTTGATTTGTTGTAATGTGAATTTGTTCATCATGGCCCTAGGACCAATGGACCTCACCATATGTATCATTATATAGTAGGCTTGGCTATCCATATTTTGTGTAATGTATTTAGTGTTGTTTGCATAACAAAACTGCCTAACTATGCATTTCTCAGAAAGCATCCTCATCACTAAGCAATACTTCTCTATCTGTCTATCTATCTATCTATCTATCTATACCTATGGCTTTACCCAGTGGCTGATATGCAAGGAATGTGATTAATTTTAAAGGTATCATTACAGTGTGGTGATACAGTTAAATACATAGACTTTAGAATCAGTAGGCTATCTGAATTCAAATTCCTCCTCTGGCCGCTCCTATTTGTGTCATCTTGCACGAATTCTTAAAACTCAGTTTCCTCCTCTGTTAAAGCAGGATAGTAACAGAACTTCCTTTAAAAAGTTGTTATATAGGTTAAACAAATTCAGGTTAGCTGGAGTGCTAGTATTACTTCATAGGCACTTATCACTCATCTTTCGTGAAAATGGTTTATACCAGTTGAATCAAAATTGATTGAAGTAGGTTAAGCAAATAAAACTCAGTTGTGAAATGTCCTTTTTTGAAGTAAAAAGAGAGTTTATCATGGACTTATTTGAGTATGTCACATAGGGAAATAATCACATTTTAGGAATCCCTATAATGAATGGGTCCTTAAATGAGTAATAGGGGAAAGCCAGAGCTTTGTCATCACTGTCTCCATAACTGCTCAGCATTCACTTTGTCAGCAGATTATTGGAAGGCAGCAGCCTTCTTGGGGAAAAAACAAAACAAAACAAAACAAAACAATGCTTCAATTATGGTTCTTTAGTTTGACAAAATTATCAGATATTAAAATAAATCATATTTATATTTACAGCTCACTGAATAATAATATTTATTTTTAGTAACTACTTCTAGTATTATAAAAGTCTCTAACTCTGTGATCATACAACTAATTTCATTTTAGCTTAATTCTATATTTTGCCAGATTTTCCTAGTACCATTCAAGATAATTTTCAAATCACTTAAACTTTTCAATTTAAAATAAGATACATTGCCTGACATATGATTTCTGGTTAATTACAATAACTAAAAATGAGCTTGTATCTGTGTTTACTTGTCAACAATATATATATATATGTAATGTATAATATTAGAGGAGTAAGATTTCAACCTAGTAAACTAAACAATGATTCCACAGGCAGATTAAACATGATGCGCTCATGATGTATTTGTCAAGAAACAAGGAGGTAAATTTAGTTTTCAGTGACACAAATTTAATGACAGAAAAATCTCAGCAGTCCTTTCCCCTAGAATTTGTTGTGTATTTTGTTGACCAAATGTTCCTTAATAAAACGTTTACATAAGAATGGCCAGCTGAGGATATGCCAACTTTTTCTTTTTTTGGCTGTACTGTGACAGCTGGTCACATCTGAAAACAGCAGGTGTATGGAAGATGCAGCTTGGGAGATGCAGCCACAGTAAATATTAGGGCAGCTCCAAGGAGCTGAGGGGTACCTCCCTTCCTCTGGCATTTGCATGGCTCAGGGGACTGTAAGACTTGCCTTGAGCCGTGGGCTGTATGTGGAACCTTGCAAGTGCTCCATCCTTTGGGCTCTGCACTGTGAACTTTCTTCCACCATTCACCTCTCACTGAGACAAAATTTTCCCTCTCTTATGTATTCTGGTCAGTGCAGTATTTACAGGGCCTATGGTGCATGAATGGAGTCACAGGCTTGTTTTAATAAACATTTTACCCAAGGTGGGTCAGCAGTGTGTTTGAATGATCAGAACAGATTTGCTGTGATACTCTGTTAACTGAGTCAAGGTTATTTCAGCCAGTGAAGAGAAGAATATGGCAAAACATACCCATTTGTAGTTAGCAAAATTCTAATAGTCTGAAGGCTTCAGGAAAGAATATGGAAAGTTCTATTATTTAGCACTTCATTTGAAAAACACAAATGAAAGAAGCATCAGAGGGATCCTCAAAGAGCATTCATCCCAATTACTGACCAACTCTATAGGTTTTTCCAGAAGGAAGCTGGATCTACGATAAAGATCAGTCAGTCTTTGCTGGAATGCTCATGGCCCTCAGTTCTTTTAGAGACAGACTCTTTGAGATTGGCGGAAAAACTTCTGAAGATACCAGACTGAACCTGCACTTCTCCAACTTTCACTCACTGAAATAACCCAAAAGAGCCTTGAGGCTTCCCTTAGAGTCACACAATAGCTCTCCAAATGCTGGAAAACAACCATCAAAGTCCCATAATCTTTTTTCTCTAGACTAAACATCCTGTGGTTACTCAATATGTCTGTCCCGCCTGGTTTTCCCATCACTCACCAATCCCGTCTCCTTCTTCCATAGGCTATTTTATCAAATATGATCTCCTTTGAGTGTTGTGCCTACTGCTGATGTGCTTCAACCTGGGAGCACATCTTCTCCCTTGAGCTACACCTTCCAGATGGGTGAATTTGCATTCGCAGGTGCACCAAGTAGTAAGAGCCACCCTGCCAACACGCCTGGTGCACCGTAAGTGTTTTAGGGTATTGTTTGAAAATTTAGGTTAGTCAGCAAGATTTCTTTGAATGTGAATATTGCAGATTTCTCCCACACTCTACTTCTGCTATTAAATTTTTGAAAATAAATGGAGGGGGCTGGAGGTTTAGCTCAACGGCATAAGCGCCTGCCTTGCA